ATATTTTCAGGAGGATTTTATTTGGATACTTTTACACTTTTGTTTGTTTTTCTTTTTGGTTAGGGATTGCCCAAGGATCCTGCACTGTGGCTATACAATCAGCCCCTGAAAAATGGTATCTTTTAACTTGTTGGGAGGAGGGGAGGACATGAACTCCGAGCCTTGACCTTTCACTTGGCTTTTTTGCTCACAGCTGATACTTGAGCCCTTCCTCTAGTTGACATTTTTTTAAATGCCTATTTCAGACAGTTTACTAAACTACAGAAAAAATATAATTGAGTTTATATATTGATCATATGCCTTATAACTTGTTAATTTAGTTTTCAATTATAGTATCTTTTTTGAAAACTATGGTTTCTTTACATAATTATATTATTTGTGAAAAGAAGATACTCTACTTCCAAGTAAAATTATCTATGGGAATGTTATAATGGTATCCTTTAGTTTTGCTACTCTCAGTCTTTATACCAAATAGTCATACATTTTACTTCTCCACGTTTGAACTCAGGGTTTGAACTCAGGACCTTATAATTTCTCATCTTTCCTTTCCAGGTGTCAGCTCTATTACTTGAATCACACCTGCAATCACAGCTCTGTACTAGTTATGTTGGATTTGGGATCTCATGGACTGTTTTGCCTGGGCTGGCTTCAAATCCTGATTCTCCAGATCTCTGTCTGTTGAGTTGTTCATTACAAGCATGAACCACTCGTACCTAGCGTACATTATTATTTTTAAGACTTAAATGATTGTTTTAAAGACATTTTTAAAGAATACAGTCAATTATAAACACATAAATATATTTTTCAGCTTTTCCTGTACTTTTCATTTCTTTGTTTAGATCCAAATTTCTTTTTTTTCTTTTTTTTTTTTTTTGTCGGCCATGGGGCTTGAACTCTGGGCCTGGACGCTGTCCCTCAGCTCTTCAGCTCAAGGCGAGCGCTCTACCACTTGAGCTACTGCGCCACTTCCGATTTTCTGGTGGTTTATTGGAGATAGGAGTCTCACGGTCTCTCCTGCCCAGGCTGGTTTTGAACCACGATCCTCAGATCTCAGCCTTCTGAGTAGCTAGGATTACAGGCGTGAGCCACCAGCGCCCGGCAAAGTGAATTTTTTTTTTTTTTGGGTCCGGTCACGGGGCCTGAACTCTGGGCCTGGGCGCTGTCCCTCAGCTCTTCAGCTTAAGGCTACCACTTGAGCCACAGCGCCACTTCCGGCTTTTTTCTTTTTGCTTATGTGGTGCTGAGGAATCGAACCCAGGGCCTTGAGCATGCAAGGCAAGTGCTCTACCACTGAGCCACCTTCCCAGCCTAGATCCAAATTTCTAAGTGATGCTAATTTCCTCAAGCCTGAAAGACTTATTAAAAATATTTTCTGCAGAGCAAATCTGCGGGTAATTCTTTCAGCTTGGGATCTTTGGAAAAGTTTATCCACCCCCTCCCTTTGTGCTGACAGGCTCTCATTTTCTTTTAGTAGTTTTTAATTCCACTCACCCCAGTTAGTGGCCATTATCAAGAAAACAAATAATAGTAGAAACTGACTGGAATGTGGCCCAAAGGGGACACTACTACACTGTTGGTTGGAATGTAAACTGATTTAAGCATTCTGGAAAGCAGTATGGAGGTTCTGCAAAGGACTAAGCATAGAACGACCCCATGGATCCAGCAATCCCACTCCTGGGCATTTACCCAACAAACACAAACAAGGCCACACTAAAGCTACCAGCACAAATATGTTTATTGAAGCATTATTCACCATAGCTAAGATACAGAACCAACCTAGATGTTCCTCAGTAGATGATGAACTGATCAAGAAAATGTGGTATATATACACAATAGAATTCTATGCTTCTATCAGAAAGAATGTCATCACCGCATTTGTAAGGAAATGGAAAGACTTGGAAAAAATCATAGTAAGTGAAGTAAGCCAGACCCAAAGAAGTGTAGGCTCCATGGTTTCCTTCATTTGTAATAATTAGTATATATTTAGGATAGTCCCTAGCAGAGGATCACAATAGTTCAATAGCTATGTACATATGACCATATAAAATGATGCTAATCGAAATAAACTCCAGGATATGGAAACGAAAGTTTTGTGTGCTGTTTTTAATGTACTGTATGAAGTTATTTCTTTTTTCTTTCATTTATTTTCCTTGGTTTATTCCCTGTTGTCATTGGTTTTGATTTTGGTACCCTGTGTCTTGCATATATGTTTATCTGATTTATTGAAGGGAAGTGGAATAACAAAATGAAACAAAGGAAAAAGGGGGAACCAATGCAACAGACACTATCCTGGAAATGAACTTTACCACTTGGGGGGTGGGAGGTTGCAGAAGGAAGGAAAGTAGGAGAAAAAGGAGGGAAGGGGTAACCATGTTCAACAAGAGATGTACTCATTACCTTACTTATGTAACTGTAACCCCTCTGTACATCACACCTTTACAATTAAATTAAATTTTAAAAAATGAACCACACTTTCTTCAAACCACACTTTGAATTTCTTGTTTTGAGAAACTTGAGTTTTCTTCATGTTTTTTTGTGCATGGGTTCATTCTGCTTCATGGACCTGTAGGTTTATATATTTTTTCAGCTTCTAAAATTTTAACTCTTCAAATATTCTTCAAATATTTTTCTATTTCCTTCATTGTCTTCCTTTTAGAACTCCAATTATAAAACATTAGGCCACCTGAAGTTGTCCCAAAGCTCACCAATCCTCTATTCATTTTCTTTTCCTTATGTTTCAATATAGAAGGTTTCTGCTGTGTTTAGTTTCACTGACATTTTTAAATATGATATAGTCCTTTCCAGTATATTTTTCATCTCAAGACTTTGAATTTCTCATTTCTTATAAATGCAGTTTGGATTTTTTTACACTATCCATATTCATCTTTTCCTTCACTTTTCTGAAAATTTGGAATATATAGGAGTTATTTTACTGTTTGTTTATTAGTTCCATTATCTATCTCATTTCTGCATCTTTATCTAATGATTAAGTTCTCTTATCATGGCAATCAGGATTTTCTTGCTTCTTTTCATACCTGATAAATCTGATGGTTTAGCTGACTGCAAATTTTAACTTTCGAATTCTAGTTTGATTTTTATATTCCTTAAGTATTTTTGGGCTTTGTGTGGGATGTAGTTAAATTACTTAAAATTAGTTTGATTCATTTGGACCTTGCCATAAGGCTTTTAAGGCAGGTATAGAATAGCCTTTAGATTAGGCTCAATTTGGATCTACTAAGGCAATAATACTCTCTTTATGGCTGAACAATATTCCATTTTGTGCTGGTGTATATCATGTTTTCTTGATCAACTCAAGGGCATCTGGGCTGGGCTGTTCCCACAGCTTAACTATTTTTAATAGTACTGCAATAAACGTGGATATCAGACACCTCTGTTGCTGGGTGCTGGTAGCTCGTGCCTGTAATCCTAGCTAAAATCCAAGGATTTCGGTTCAAAGGCACCCAGACAAGAAAGTCTAGCAAGACTCTTATTTCCAATTAACCATCAGAAAACCAGAAGTGGAACTGTGGCTCAAAGTGGTAGAGTGCTAGCCTTGAGCAAAAGAGCTCAGATACAGCACCAAGGACCTGAGTTCAAGGCCCACTACCAAAACAACAATAAAATACCTCATTATATCCTGACTTATATTCCTTTTGGTGAATGCCTGGACCACAGAAAGTTCTATTTTTAGGTTTTTTGGTACTTCATAGTGGTTTTTTTGTATATATTTTTTTATTATCTTTAAGTAGTTGTACAAAGGAGCTGCCATTCACCAAAGCAGTTTATGAATACAATGAATCTTGATCAATGTCACCTTTTTTTTATTGTCAAGGTGATATACAGAGGACTTACGGTTACATAAGTAAGGTAATGAGTACATTTCTGGTCAAACTTGTTTCCCCCTCCCACATTTTTCTCCTATTCCCCCCCCAAAGTTCCGACATCAGTGGTATAGATAACTTCCAACATATTGTCTTGTGAGTATCGCTGTTGCATTGGTTATCCTTTTGTCCTTTGTCTCACCATTTTGTTGTTCCCCTTCCCTTCCCTAATTCAGATAAACATATACTATACTCAGGGTATCAAAATCAAATCCAGTGACAAGGGATAAACCATAGAGGGGAAAAACACACAAACAAAAAAAAAACAAGAAATCACATAGTACATTAAAACAAAAACAACAAAGAAAAACCTCTTATGTCCATGTCTTGTTTGGTTTCCTTCGTTTGTAATAATTAGTATATGTCTAGGATATTCCTAGCAAGAATAGCTATTTACATATGACCATATAAGATGATGCTAAGTGAAACAAACTCTAAGACCCATACTGATTTTTTATTTTGCCTTTTAGAAACAAAGACATAATCTATAGACACTATATAACTCTTGATTACAATGTGAACGTGGAAGTGGTCCTGTGGCTCAAGCAGTAAGAGCACTTGCATTGAGCTGAAAAGCACAGGGACAGCGCCCAAGCCCAGAGTTCAAGCCCCATGACCGACAAAAAAAAACCAACCCAATGTGAACGTATCCCTGCATATCTCCACCCTAAATTTGAGCAAAAATAGTAGCTCAAATAACACTATCTATTCATATTGAACTGTGAAAACTACTCATTTATTAATGTTATGGTCTTATTATCTGCATTTGAGCAATTCTCAGTAAGTCAACATCAGAATTATAGTATAAACTACAGTGTCCCACAGCATTTGATTAAAAACAACTAAATGTGATTTACAGCATAATTTCTATAGGAAGACACAATTGGAATTCCAACCACAGAGTAGATGAACAATCTCCCTTATCTGTAAGCTTAGGGGAAATATACACTCACATGGAAGAGGATAGAGAAAAAAGGTTAAGACTAAAAATCAGATAGGAAATGAGTTAGATAGTACAAGATAAACTTTAAAACACTTTTCCCCATCTATATTACAGAAGGATCTCTTTACTTAGTATACAGAATAATCTGTGCTGGTACCAAAATAAAATGTACTCACTCATCCAACTCTTCTTCAGTTTTAGAGTTATCAGCATACAGGTACTTGCTCATGTCCACGGGTCTTATATTTTTTCTTTTTGTAGACTGGGGAGGAGAATCCTTTATAGTTACAAAAGTTTCTGGCTCATCAAATGGGTTCAAATACTGTGAAGTCTGTACATCTTTAAAGGGATGATAGCTGTTATTATAAAAATATTCCTCTGGATGTTTAGGTGAAGCTTTTTCAGTGATTGGTTCTATAAAAATAATATTAAAAGGTAAGTTAAATTAATGGCATATGATATTGTCTTACATTTTTAGTATTTTCAAGAATTTCAGGCTTGAATCCCACTTTTGGGCATTTACCCAAATGTTCACAAACAAGACCACACTAAAGCTACCAGCACAACTATGTTTATTGCAGCCTTATTTACCATAGCTAAGATATGGAACCAACC